CTACACGGTCTTTTTTGCAGGTGCCCTGTGTTGTTTATGCATCAGAGAGCACGGTACTCAGCTCTGCTTTCTCTTCCAGGTGCCTCTTCTGCTACAATGCTGATTTTCATCCTTCCTGCTGCCTTCTACCTGCGGCTCGTTGAGAAGGAGCCCCTGAGGTCTCCCCAGAAGATCGGGGTAAGGGAGCTGGCAGCAAAGGCAGAAGGAAGGATGGGAGGGTGTGTGGATTCCATTGGTCACAAATATTCAGACCTTTGACTTGCAACATCCGGCAGTTGTTCGTAAATGGTAGTGTCTCATTCAAACTACATGTTGGGCAGTGTGATTCACTTTAGCATGGAGAGAAGGGCTTCACAAGCCAAAACCTTTAATGCTCTACTACTACTGACACACAACAGCAAGTTTTGAGGTTAATGTGTCTTAAATCACTAGAAAAAGGCCTTCGTTTAATCCAATCTAAGCTCTAGTTAACACCTGCACTTGCACACATAACAGCAAGACAGTGTATAAGGAGCTGTTGGTTCACACTAGAAGGCCAGCTGTGGATTAATAGGAAGATTTGAGGTCAAGGTTAAGAAGGAAGTAGTACTGCAAAGATAATTAAGTAATAGTGAGTTCCCCACTGAGATAGATCCATATACTTACAGGAGACGTATATGAAGGTCTATCATTTATACACAGCAGCTGTTTATACATCCTGCTGTACTGACGCAGCAGTACCTTCATCCTGAACATCAATAGCCACCTGCACATTTAACAATATCACCAAGGAGATGTCCTTTGAAAATTTAATCAAAGAGTTATTGATTAAATGTATATGCAGGTACATAATGTAAACAGATGTTGTTATATACATCTATATACATGTTCGCAAAAACACACGGAAGATGACGTTTGACCGATACATACTGCAGGTATAGAAAGAAAGGTTTGTTTTCATAAAATGTTTTCTGAGGGTGACTTTTGGAGCTGTTATTATAGAGAGACTGTGAATACTCGTTCACGTGTTTCTGTTCTTTCTTCACGTTGCTGTACGTTAGGCAGATTTAGAGTTTCACACCTTGCACAGAGATCACATACAATATTCGTCTTTGTGTTGCAAGGCAGAATATTAAGTGTGGACAGATTACAGTAAACTGAAGACCCACTAAAGCAAACGGTGACTATAAGCATCTGAATCACTTGAATATATGCAGAAATGGCTTCAGAGAAGAGATGGGCTTACCTGTTTGTCTAATAAGGATGAAAAGGATTAACTCCAAAGCTGTTCTTGATACCAGAGAAAATAATCACTAATTGAAAATTGATCAATTTTTAAAGAAAAATACTATTTCTCTGTTGTATTTTGTTGTTGTTCATAGTAACAAAGCAGGGGTTTTTCAGACCTAGTCTTGCAAAGCCTGGGTCTCCTGGACTGAAATTCACACAGACCTAACTCTGATTCACATAGGACTGTATGACATTACTTGTGCTTTAGTGACAGAGAATGACCCAAACTCAGACCCTGGGTGTTACATAAATGTGGTTCCATTAGGACAGTCTATGAACTACAGTCTGCTCAGTCATATGCTTTATTAATAAAATTCCATTTTCCAATTGCAGGCTCTAATTTTTCTCATACTTGGAGTAATCTTCATGATTGTGAGTATGACTCTTATTGTAATGGACTGGATTTACAATCCCCCAAGTTCCAGACATCACTAACCTGTGAAGACAACTGAGTGCTTTTTATACCATAAATATTTGTATTGTGTGCTCCAAAGGACACCTAAAAAGGACTGTTATTCCTAGCTAGTAACTGCAGTATTTTGAAGGCGGTTTCTGGTAAGGTCACTAGAACCAAATGGAGTCTACGTCATCCTTTTCACTAAGGATCATTATTTATGCATTAGAAACCTGAGCTTAGCCTTTCTGGCCAGGTGAAATGAAATGTGTGGTGTGGGTGCTTTCTATTTTCAAAACCAAAATAACTGTGTACATAGTCCTCAAAAATAGCTTGGTGTCACCCTTTTCAACCTCTCCCATCATGCTAATAACCACAGTTGCTAGAGCCCTGGAAAGGTAATGGCCAGAAAACCAGCTAGTGCCTTGTTTTCTATCTGAAGCTCATGGGAGCAGCTGCCCAGCTCCAAGAGAAGGGGTACAGTTTCTGTAGGGGATCTGAAAGGTGACTGCTCCCTACCAACCTCTCTGTCAGAAAGATGATGGCTTTGAAAGCCAGTGGAAAAAGCTGAGCATCAGATTTTTGCCCAAATTCATCGCCCTTGGCAGGTGACTGTTGTCATACAGAGTAAAGCTCTCCGGCACAGGCCCTGTGCTGGGGTGTGGGCTTGAAGAACCATTGAGCATTTGCGTTTTGTTGTTAAAGATGCTTGTGCTGGAAATGTCAGGCATTTCTGCTGTGGGTTTTTTTTGTTGTCTTTACTTTTTTAATTCTTGTGTGAGCTTGCATCACTGAACAAGTTGTATCCTCCATAGAAACTTGTCTTCCATTCTCATGGGAATTTAAGGAGACCACAAGGTGTGGCAAAGCACCCTATCCAGTATTGTTCAGTAGTTGTGTATTTGATAAATGTTCCGTGCAGAAATCTGCAATTTGCTATATATAAAAATATATGTATTTATGTACATAATTTTTTGTTTTCCTCTAGTTATAAAAATGTTATCCTGTGGTAAATGATTTCTGAAATTTTTTTTTATGTGTCACTCTGTTTTCATAGCCACACACTTAATATTGTTTTGAAGAAAACATATTGGATTGGTGGGTTTGTAAAAGGTTCATTTTTATTCAGCAGTGTTTGAAATATACCTGTAGCAAGGCCTAACTGTTACCTAGAAACACATTCGGCTGTTTACTACTTATGTTACAATAAATTGCAAGATGTTTTCCTCTTGAGAATTTTTAATATATGCCTCAAAGTTCTGTGTTACCATTGTACCCGACAAAGTCAGGTAACTTTCTCAGTTGCTGTACCTTAGCTTGTCTACACATATGCTAGCATTCAACAACGTCCATAATTAAGGTACGCAAAGGAAAAGACATTACTGACGATCTCAAGTGTATCGTGCTGTGCAGCTGTGCAAGACAGAAAAAAAAAAAAAAAAAGGTTAAGTTCCATGTTATATGGATGCTTAATTAACACAGTACCCTCCAGATTGTGATTTTAGCTATGCTGTAGAGTACCCACTATATACGCTCTCTGTGCACACCAGTGAAAAAATAGTCAGAGAAGTCATGTTAACTCCATAGCAGAGCGAATGAGTGGGAAGGTGCAACGGTTGGTTTTAACACACTTACACAAATCCAGGCTTATGTAATTGGAGTTTTCATTTTCCAACTTAGAATTCTGTTGAGTACACACCTGTGAACTCAGAAAGCCATAAAGCGCACAAAAGTGGTCTCTGCTCACTCCTCAGCTTTGTACGAAATTCTGGGGGGGTGGGGGGGGCAGTGTGTACAAATCTGTGTGTATGAATGTGTGTATACTTACAGGTTAATTGCAAAAGCATATCAAATATATATTCTATGCCAACTGCTATTTTTCTGAGCAGTATTTCATGCTCACTTGAGTACTGTATCCTTAATATACTGGAGCACACTGTCTTGTGAATGTTGTCTGGGTTTGCATTTTTTAAAGAAAAAGGTGCCAATAATCTTTTGCTCTATTTTAATCAAAGTAATACAAATAATGCTGTATTATTAGTCAAGAGACCTTTAATATGGACTAGAGTTAATTGTAACATACCCACACACTTCTCTTCCTGTTACCACTACTGAGAGTTAAATGTATGGAAGAACTGAACTGTAACTGCATCTTTGCTTCAAAGCAAAAGCACATATAGTGACTGCAGCTGCATGTAGAGACCTAAGAATTCATGTAGCCACCTAAAATACAGACGACCTCAAGAAAAGTAACAGAAAAATCATGGAACCATGGCACTGCCTTTTCACATCACAAAATTGTAGGTGTCCAAAATAGAGGTAGAGAGTCTGCAAAAAATGTCAACTTTTCAAGTTAAAATATGCCGGTCACCGCAATATTAAGCTGCTGTGCACAGTGGGAGTAATCGTAGTATTGCACACTAACTTATTAGCACTGCTAGGAATGGTGGATGTTGGAGTTTCTTGTTCATGTTGTAATGTTGACAGGAGGCCTTGTGAGGATTTTTATTACAAAACCATCCATGGATGTATAATAAATGAATTTTCCAAAGACTGGAGATCTCTTTTCTTCTGTTTAAGGCTAGCAGGAGAAGGATTTTTTTGTTTGTTTAAATCGAGCAGAATCAAACCGGTAGCCTTAACACGAGCGTCATTAAAACTGCACTCCTTTTTCAGAGAGAAATTTATTTATCCATGTATCTGCAGATGAGCAAGATGGCAGCCTCTTTGTATAATAACCCTTTTGCATACGCTGTTTTGCATCTATTCATGGAGCTGCGTAGACATCACTGGCTAGAGAATGACTGGCGTCAAAAGTGGGTTATCCACAAGACACTGAATGCCTCGTTCTTTGGAGCGTGGGATTAGCCGGGATACACAGTATAGCAGCTAAGTATAGTCACTATTAGGACCATGCACCAGATGGTACCGCTCTGTATAAATACTTCCTATCACTGCAGCTGTAGGTTTTCCTGCTGTTACATATTTGTCTGGTGTATAATTGTAGCCCAAAATATACTGGTCTACATGCCGCTCCAGCACCGATGAGCTCATGTGAGAACCACGCTCGCAGACCCGGCCAGCCAGTGTTTGCAACCTGCCCACTAATGAGGGAGGCATTGCAGACCCAGACACTTGCTCAACACCTGCGTCAGGAGTATCCTCACCGATATTCTCCTTCCCTTGTAGTTAGGTATCTTTAATTCCCTGCAGCTTCTCCTTTGCTCTGTCTTGATGGTTCTTGAGCTATAAATTTCTTGTGGCAGGAGGCTGTTTTAATTAAACAATTAAAATTTTGGCAAGGGAAGGAGAAGAGTTAAAGAAAAGGAAAAGGTACATTTTCAAGGACGAAAAAGAAACCAATGAAAATGTATTAGAAATTTTATCGGCCATAGAGGCGTGTCATTAAACGGACGTGACAAGAATGCCAGAAGCGATACAGAAAAAAATAAAAAGAAGTAATGCATAAATATTTCAGCTCTGGATTTGGAAAGAGGCAGAACAAGGGACACTCATTAGAGGGCAAAGTCCTCTCTAGTCCATAAATAACCAAAGATGATGTTAAACAACATCTATCTGAAAGAAGGGCAGCAGGCCTAAGTAAGCCACAAAAGCAGCTGGCCCTGGTGTTAATTTTCCATAAACTCTGGCATACTTGGCTAGTTCTCAGTGGCTGACATAATAGTAATTAAAGCTAGTCAGAAATTACTCACTAAGAGGTATAGTTGGCGCTATAGGTGGAAAATTTCCAGTCATTTAACTTCAAATTTCAATCGAAATTTTACTGAAAATGTGCTATTGCAATAAAATTCTGGTAGAGCCAGGCAGACTCAAGTGGAACCTGCCTGGTTTCCCATTAACTTGCCTGGCAAGGTGTGGGGGCTCCCAGGGGTTACAGCTTCTGGCCTCCACCTCCCCTGGCAGCTGGGTCCCCCAGGACAGGGACCTGCTATAGGGCCACCTGGTGACACCTAGGCCAGGCAGCCCAGGTGCTCTGGCTGGGGGTCCAGGGAGAGCTCGAGGTCACAGAGTTTCCTCCCATGGAGCTTGGCCTTAATGCTGTGATAGCAATCTTGACAATATTTCCATGGTATATTGTGCTGTCCAGTAGCATCCTGAAAAAAACCAAACACCCAGAGAATTATTTTACTTAGTTAAATCATCACTTACTGCAAACACTTGAAAGCTCGGTGATAATGAGTTTTCGTAAGAGAATGGAGACATGAAGCTGGAAGGGATCTCAGGTAACCTCCTATTCTACAGCTGGGCTAGGTAACAGTCTTAGGTTAGTGTTTTCAGGCAACAACATCGGCTCCAGGTGCTCATTTCAGACATTTAGTAAAGTTCAGGAAAAAAAAAAAAAAAAATTGCTGTGCTAACTGGACTCACAACCACTAAAGCCTGCACAGAGCTGCTGTTTCCAGCTATGCAGGAGACACTGCTGATACGTTAGTACCCTCTGGACATTGAGGCGCCGGGGGACATTTGTAGTGCTGCAGAGCTGCTGCTTCCATCAGCAAAGTGTAATACTGAAAGGATTTATGTCATGTGGAGCCTAAGTCCCCCCGCCCACCTAGTGAGCCAAGTTTAAACCAAATGCATCATAAATGATAAATAGCTTTAGAAATCAATACACTGTCCTAATTTTGCTACATAAAATTAGATGGAAACCTTGTTCTGTGACTAACAATGAAACAGAAGGTGTTTATCACCCTGCAGAAGCAGAACTAAATATAAAAGGATGCTAGCTTGGCCACAGCCCTCCAGGACACTTTGAAGTGAATGCTTCAATTTCCACATGCTCAAATGGAAAGTGTTCACAGCATTCATTCATCTTGACATGCAGCATGCACCTCACCTGGCACATTCATCTTAAGGCTTGGGAAAGTTACCCTGTTCTCAGTAACAGATTGTCTACATATAAATTATTACCTAGCAGTTTATTCCCAAAAGGAAGGTCCATACCTTCTCTCAGGGGGAAGCTCGCTGATGGCAGGAAGCGATGGCTGCATGCCATCAGTGTCAGCCTCCTTTTCCCTCTCTGACCGAGGTGAAATTTCTGCCTTTTCCATCCCAGAGTACCCAACCCTTCCCACCCTTTCTTTCCGAGACAGCTGGATTTAGCTTTTACACAAGCAGCTCAAGCAACTGACCCAGTTTCCAGATTGCCATGGTCAAACTAACCCAACAAACAGCTTTATGTGCATGAGTTAATACAAGTGCTCACATTAAGATTCACACTTCTCCTTTGAATCCCCACCTTTACCTTGGTCCATCCTGAGCAAACTTAGAGGGCTTAGCAGAAAACATTTCTGAATTTTCCCAGGAAGAAGTAGCTGCTGAGGCAGACAACTTTTCACATACCCCACTTTATTTACTGTTTCCTACAAGTAATTTGGTGGTCTCCCCTTCACTTGCAACAGCACCTCCTCACCATTCAGAGGCACTTCAGCCTAATATATCAGTAGTGGACAGTGATGGGTACCCTACTTATGTCCTCAAAGCCCTGTTGCAGGGGTTAAGAGCCACCTGTTTCCCTCCTTCAGTTACATATATCTGGAACGTGCAATGAACTAATATAAATCTTCTGATCGGGCCTCAGCCGTCTTAATACACCCCTTTGCTCTAATAATGCTTTTGCACTCTACAGATCATTTCCTAAACCTTCTGCAAAATGCCATCCAGACCTTTTTTTAATCCAGCCTCAGAGAAAACAAACATTTGGATTACCCCTGCTTTAACACCTGTAACTGGACAGATACAGGCCCAATAATAAATTAGATACCTCATTATTTTCTTCAGGAAATCTTATGTCAAACCCTAGGCTGTTGCAGGGAATGTGGTTCCTTATATTGCTCATTAAGAGACTGCAACACACTGAATACTGCTACTAACCTCACCCATAGCAATCTGTGCAAACATCCGCACAACGTGCCGCTAAAGCAACAGTAGGCAATTAAAATAACTATGCCCCTAGAAGCTATTGGGAAATCAAAGACAAGATTACTCATAAAGCAAGTTTCCCTGAAATTGTCTCCAGTGCCCAAGATCTCATAGTACTACGTGGAACATATCAAACCACGTTCAGTCTAGCAGCATTCATGGTGGGGTGAGTCAGGCAACCTAGTCAGGGAAAACTCATTTTCTTATATACAGTCACACACACTGCCAGACCCAGGAACAGACATTTTGGTTAAATAGGAACATTTTACCTGGCTTCAGGTACTAAAGAAAGACAAGGAT